GAGGAGGAGGAGGAGGAGGAAGCTGTCTTGTCGCCCTCGGACCTGAAACAGCCGGGGCTCCAGAGCCGGGTCCGCGGCGCTCCCGCGGGCGGCTCCTCGTGCCCGCACGCGGCTCGGTCCCCGCGCGCGGAGCATGTAAGACACGCAGAGGAGGGGGGGCGGGCCGGCCCGGCCGGCCTCCCGCCCCGCCCCGCTCCGAGGGCCGAGCACCGGCGAGCTCGGGTGCGCCGGGCGGCGTCTGCTGCCCTCACTCCGGATCCGCCCTACTTTGGCTTTTTTTCCAACTTAGAATTGCGTCGGAAATCCACCTATAAGAGGCCGAACAAGTAGGGCGGAAATTGCTGCACCCAACATAAAATAGGGCGGAAATCCACAGAAACAGCAACAGAAAAGTAGGGCGGAAATTGGCATCAGCGGGGCTTGAAAAGTAAGGCGGAAATTCCAAGACCCACTTACGAATTTCCCCAAAGTAGGGCGGATCCGGAGTCAGGGTGGAGCAGCGGGCGACAGACTCGGGGGAAGAAGCAGCGGCGCCGGCGTGACTGAAGGGGCCCCACACAAAGAAACAAAAAGAGGCCCCAACAGTCTGTCCCGTAGTTTCTGGGCTCTTGTCTTCCCCCCCCCCACTTCCCATATGTTCCCATGTCTTCCTGGAGATCGACAGATAACTGCGCGTTTGTGTGTGTGTGGGTTTTCCCTCCTGGATGATTGAGCTCTCGGAGGTCCAGTGCATTTCTCGGGCCGGCGCCGGAAGCCCCCTGGCGGCGCCTCCGGCATCACCGCCCCAGCACGCTTGCCACCCGCCAGCCAGGGGAGTGGGGGCCAGTACCGATCCAATAAAAAACCGCGTGGACCTCCAAAAGTCTGCAGCCAAGCCACTACCACAAGGAATGCTCAGGAAGCAACGACGCCCATCTTCTGGCCTCGAGAACACCATGGAAGGACCCGAGGAACAGCCGAGCCGCTTTCCGAACCCGACCTGCTCCCTATCTCAGCGTCTTGACTGCGCACGTATGCCCTTGCTTCTTCTCCTTCCACTGAGATCCGGCGTGGCAATCCGACGTTGCCGAACAACCGCGCCCGGAAGCCCAAATCCGATATGTCTGCTGCAGTGTTCTGCCTCGGTCGATCCGCGACGGCCCCAGGGCCCGAAACCGGGCGAAAGCGCTCGGCGTGAAGAAGGGCCACGCCCGGATCTCGGGGTCGAACAAACAGATAGGGGGCCGCATGCGAAGCCTGCCCCTGCCCCCCACGATTTCTGAGGGGGAGGGTGGGGTTCACTTCGCGAACCCTACCCCTACCCCCCACGAACCCTAACCCTACCCCTACCCCCCACGAAGTGAACCCCACCCTCCCCCTCAGAAATCGTGGGGGGCAGGGGCAGGGTTCGCATGTGGCCCCCGAACAGAAGCCTGGCCGCGGCTCCAGCGCAGCAGGAGACGGGGGCAGGCCGAGCTCGGAGGCGTCCACGAGGGGGGCGCCCAAGAGAGGGGGTCGGCCAAGGTCACGGCGCCCCAGGCATGCGCGCGGACGACCGGGTGCCAGCGCAGGTGCTGAGACAAGAAAAAAGAGGAAGGAGGAGGAGGAGGAGGAGGAGAGGGAGGAGGAGGCAGGTGGAGGAGGAGGAGGAGGAGGAGGGGAGGAGGCGGAGGAGCGAGGAGGCGGAGGAGGAGGAGGGGAGGAGGAGGAGGAGGAGGAGGAGGAGGAGGAGGGAGGAAGCAGCAGTAGCAGGGAGGGGAGGGGGGAGGAGGAGGAGCAGGAGGAGGAGGAGGAGGAGGAGGATGGAGGAGGAGGAGGAGGAGTGAGAGGAGGAGGAGGACCCCCGCAATGAGACCCACCCCCCCCAGATCCTCACCCCCCTCTTGGACGCCCCCGAGGAGCACGGGCTACCCCGCGCCCGGGGGCCGGCGCTCCCGCGGCTCGGTCTCCGCAGGGGCCAGGCCGCCCGCCCCTCCGCCGGGCGGGTCCTCCTTGGGGAGGTCGGCGGTCCTGACCGTGTCGGACTCCCCTGCAGGGCCCCGAGGAGCGGCCCACGATGCTGCTCGTCCCTCCCCTCCTCCCCCCCCTCCCTAGGGGAGGAGAAGGGGAAGGGGGCGGGGGAGGAGCTGGAGGGGGGGAGGAGGAGGAGGAGGAGGAGGAGGAGGAGGAGGAGGAGGAGGAGGAGGAGGAGGAGGAGGAGGAGGAGGAGGAGTGGAGGAGCAGGAGCAGGAGCAGGAGGAGAGAGGGGGAGGAGGAGGCGGAGGTGGAGGAGGAGGAGGAGGAGGAGGAGGAGGAGGAGGAGGAGGAGGAGGAGGAGGAGGTGGAGGGTTGAGGAGGAGGAGGAAGACGAGGAGGAGGAGGAGGAGGAGGAGGACGAGGAGGATGGGAGGAGGAGGAGGAGCAGGAGGAGGAGGAGAAGGAGGAGGAGGAGGGAGGACAAGAGTAAACCCAAGATGCCTCAGGCGATGCTGCAACACACCCTCCCATCCCAAGTCCCCACCTCACAAGTCCGTACACGATTTTGTTTGTCCACTGCGGTCGCCCCGCCTTGAATGACGACTGGCCTGTCGGTCCGCCATTCAGACGAAGGCGCCTGTTGTAACGGATCCTCCCTCCACCTGAAAGACGCCCAGGGTAGTCCTATTTTGAAAAGCACATGCGGGGGATCAACTATACTTATCCTTCAGTGTTGAAAATTCAGCCACAATCGCTCCCGCTGGATACTTCCTCACAAGTTATTTCACATTCGCGCTCTCGCGCAAACAGTCTTAAAATGACTGTTGTTGCGGTTATGGTTGTGGTTGTAGTTGTGGTTGTTGTTGTGGCTGTTGTTGTCACCGTCGTCATCGTCGTTGTTGGTGTTATTATGCCTGTTGTGCCTAGGGGCTATTCGGGGCTAGCGGTTGGGCCGATGTTGAAGATCAGCAGATGCGCACCGATAGCATCTTTTACGCAGGATGGTGCGGATTAGGTCGGATGGATGTGTGTGAGGGTTGGGTCGTAGTATGCGCGCGGCGCTAAGGCGAGAGCCACATGTCGAAAAGGAACCGGCCTCCATCCTCGAGGTTGTTGCAAAAGATTCACAACCAATGTGCACGGCGCTAACGTGGGAGCCAGATTTTGAAGACCAACTGCCATCCACACGTGAAACCCTTGCAAACTCTTGAAAAAATGCACGCGGCGCCAAGGCTAGAGCCAGCTCGGCTACATCCGTGAAACTGCTGTGAACCTTGAGCTTCGGGATCATCATTGGCGCGGAAGTCTCGTGCGAAACGCCCAGCCTGGCCTACGGGCACGTCTTGTGGCGCGGCCAGGGGGAATTATCTACAAGGAAAAAACTGGAGGGAGGAGGGAGGGAGGGAGGGAGGGAGGAGGGAGGAGGGAGGGAGGGAGGGAGGAGGGATCAGGGCAGGGGGAGGGGGGATTGAAGGAGGGCGAGAGGGAGGGAGGGAGCGAGGGAGGGAGCGAGGGGGGGACCGAGGGAGAGAGCGAGGGAGGGAGCAGAGAGGAGGAATGGCATCGTGGATGAAATCCTGGGTCCGACCTACGACGACCTCCAGCTTCAGCAGGGGAAAGCGGCCCTGCACCTGCCGCACCGCTCCCGCGCAGCTGCGGCACAGGGGCTTCTTCGACCAGAGCGTCGCCGTGGCTGCCCAGGCCGCTACAGGAGCACCGCAGCCGCCCGACTCCGCCTGCACGGCCGCGCAGAGCCCAGTGAGCAGCTTGAACTCGGCGTCGTGCCGCCGGTCAAAGACCCTGCCGTGCTCGTCCTCTCGGCGGCTGCAGCGAGGGCGGGCAGCCCAGTGCAGCCCATGGGGAGAGCACGGCACGCATTCTCAGAGGCGGCTCCGATCGCCCCTGTCTGCGACGAGGCCTCCCAGGGAATGCGCGAGCAGTCACCGTGCGACCACAAGGAGCGCATCAGGAGGAACGAGGGGGCTTGCCTGGCCCCGGCGGGCCTGGGCCACAATTGAAGGGGCCCTGGGACACACAAATAAATAGACACAAATAAACATATTCCCCATATGTTCCTACATTTTCTGGGATTCCGTCTTCCCCCCCACTTCCCATATTTCCCCATATTTTCTAGAGAATCGACGATTAGTTGTGTCTGTGTATTTCTGTCCCCTCCTGAACAGACACGGTCCACGACAGAATTTGGGGCATGGCCCGAACACCCAAAGCGCCTCCTGAGCCCGACGCTGCGAGAAAATTACAACGTCGCGAACCATCGCGACCAGACCACTGGACCCCACCTCTCTGCGGCACGTTTCTAGCCGGGTCGACCTCTGGTGGGGCCCGACACGGGGCGCCAAGACGCCCAGCGTGAGAAGTTGCAGAACAATTGCAGAACGCCCGGATCTCAGGGTAGTGCCCGCCCCTGGTGGGCAACTCAACAGCTACCGCTCGGACCCCTTTCTGGGGTGCGTTCTGGCCAGCATCCCGAGGCGAATCCAGCCGTGGCGGCGAGGGCCGCCCAGGAGGCCCAGAAAGCGGAAAGCGAGGCACCAAAGATCAACGGCAGCAGTACCTCCTCCTCCTCCTCCTCCTCCTCCTCCTCCTCCTCGTCCTCCTCCTCCTCCTCCTCCTCCTCCTCCTCCTCCTCCTCCTCCTCCTCCTCCTCCTCCTCCTACTCCTCCTACTCCTCGGACCACCCGGGCTGCCCGCCCCTGTTGCAGCCGCGGGTCCTCGGCCTCGATGGAGCGCAGGGGGCCCGGGAGGGGCGCCGGCGGCGCGCCGGGAGTCTTGTGCTCCCCGCTCACGGCAAACCCTGGAGGGCGGAGGCGGCAGAGCGGGACGAGGCCGGGGCGAGGACGCAGATGCGGACGAGGAGGAGCCCGGAGTCTCTAGGATCCGGCGGCTCTCTGGAGGCCAGATGGGGCGCCGCGGCCTTCTCTGGAAGGGGTGCGTCCCTGTCCCAGCCCCGCCCGACAGAGGCCTGTGCTGGGAGGGGGGGAGGGGATCTCCACCTCCAACGCCTCCTCCTCCTCCTCCTCCTCCTCCTCTTCCTCCTCCTCCTCCTCCTCGTCCTCGTCCTCGTCCTCGTCCTCCTCCTCCTCCTCCTCCTCCTCCTCCTCCTCCTCCTCCTCCTCCTCCTCCTCCTCCTCCTCCTCCTCCTCCCTATAGGTCCCTATAGGAGGGGGGGAGGAGGGGCGAGGGAGAGACGGGCCCAGACCTCCAAGGCAGGGACAAAATCAAGATGGAAGCTTTTCGTCGCTCTCGACGTCTGGGGGGCCTCGCCGGGCCCCGGGGCCGTCGAAAAACAGGCCGCGACATACAAATGGGTCCCTGGGAAGTGGTCCAGAGCTGAGGGGCCCCCTATGTTGAAAAAAGAAGGAGGGGTCTGGGGAGGGAGTGTGGAGCAGGGAGTCGAGGGGGGAGGGGGGGCTGGAGGTGCTTCTAGGATGGGGGCCAGGCGTTCTACTGTTGCTCCCCAAATCCGTCGTACACGCTGCGCCCCGAGGCGTTTTTCACCGTCAGGATCGCGATGTTCCGCTTGAGGCGCGTGAACCAGTTCGGCCCTGAGAAGTGCTCCCCGAAGCAGAACCTGTAGGGAGGCGGGAGAGGAGGAGGAGGAGGAGGAGGAGGAGGAGGAGGAGGAGGAGGAGGAGGAGGAGGGGAGGAGGGGAGAGGAGGAGGAGGACGAGGAGGAGGAGAGGAGGAGGGGAGGAGGGAGGGAGGGAGGAGGGAGGGAGGGAGGGAGGGAGGGAGGGAGGGGAGGGAGGGAGGGGAGGGGAGGGAGGGAGAAGGAGGAAGAGGAGGAGGAGGAGGGAGGAGGGAGGAGGAAGAGGACGAGGACGCCCGAGCACCAGAGCCCCGGCCCGGGAGCCCGAGCTCCGACGCCCCACGGGAAAAAGGAGCGCCCCCGGAGCCCGGGAGGCCCGGGAACCCCCAGGAGGCCCGGGAAAGCCCTGCAGGGGGCGCGGGAGCCGACCGAGGCTCCGAGGAGTGCCGAGCCGGCCCCAGACCCCCTCGAGTAATGAAAAAATCACGACAGGAGGTTTTTCACAATTTTTGGCCTTTGGGGGCCCTTGCCGGCCCTCGGGACCGTCAAAAAACGATTCAGGACGAAAAGCCGGTCCCGGGGAATGGGTCGAGACCTCGGGGGGTCGACGTCATGAAAAAATCATGACGTCGGGGGTCTGGGACCGAGGCTCCGAGAAGTGCCGAGCCGGCTGCAGCATGTCCAGGCTCGGCCAGTGCGTCGGATCCGTGCCGCACTCACGAGGTGGAGGAGGAGCAGAGGACACGCTGGGAGAGCGCGTGTCTGTCCAGCAGCGACGCTGCGGCCCCGCACCGCCCACTAGGCAACGAGGCAGCCTCACGAGGAGGAGGAGGAGGACGATGAGGAGGAGGAGGAGGAGGAGGAGGAGGAGGAGGAGGAGGAGGAGGACCAATGGGAACCCAAGACTCATCAACGATGCCACAATAAACCCTCCCTCCAAGTTCCCTCTCCGTAAGCCCCTACCTGCAAGGATGACTTGTCACTGCGGGAAGTGCCCCGTTGGAAGACAACCGCCTGAAAATCTGCATCCATGCCAGACCATCATTCCTGGGACTTCGTGCCATACTGGGATTTCAAGACAGCAAGTCAGCTTGACTGTCGCGTCCTGCCAGTCCTGAATCGTCCCAGAGCACAAGTTCTTGGACGTGGGCGGAAAAAGGCTTGAAACTGAGATCACGCTGTGCACAAGGAGGTGCGCGGCGCGCAGGCGAGAGCCACACTCTGCAAAAAAGGACCGCCCCCGACCCGTGCCGCGAAGCTCTCGCGGACACTGCAGACGCAGGTGCGTGGCGCTCCGGCGAGAGCCACAGTTGGAAAACCAGTCGCCCTCCATGCGTGAAGCTCTTGCCAACTTTGAAGGCGAATGTGCGCTGCGCGAAGGCGAGAGCCACATTCGGAAAACCGCCCACCCTCCATCCGTCAAGCTCCTGCGGACTTTCAAGCGAGTGTGCGCGGCGCTAAGGCGGGAGTGTCACACTCTGAACACGAGCCGCCCTCGATCCGTGACACCCTGGCAAGCGGTTGAAAACGAGTGTGCGCGGTGCTGCAGCGAAAGCCACACTTCGAAAACGGCCCGCCCTCCATCCGTGCAACCGTTGCACAGCTCTGGCCTCAGGACCACGACTCGTGAGGAAGTCCCAGGCGACACGCCCGGCCCGCCCTACCGACCCGTCTCGGGGTGCGGCAGGGAGGAGGCATCTAGAAGGGGAAGGGGTGGAGGAGGAAGGACGAGGCACCGGCTGGCGTCGGAGAAAAAGTAGAAGTCCAGTATCTGCAGGTACCCGCCGTACGAGGGCGGCGGGGCGCGCAGCGCGGAGGGGTCCACCTGGCGGACGGGCAGCACCCGGCGGCAGACGGTGATCAGCAGCGCCGCGAGCGCGGAGTTCTTGGTGAGCCCCCGCTTCTCGCCGTCCAGGCGCTTCGTCAGGGCCTTCAGGCCGTTGAGGGACCTCCCCGCGGAGCGGACCGCCGCCATGTCGGCCTCCGGAGGGCGCAGAACATATACGCTTGCACCGCGCCTGGCGAGGCCCGTACTGGGCCTCAGATCAACGCATTACGGCCGAGAACTTGTAGACAGCCTGTCGCCACGGCAGCCCCGGCGACACGCTATGCCCTGCAAGCGGGAAGCGTGTCGTTTCCGCTCCGCGGGGGCGGGAGGCTCAGAGAAGCCCGGCACGTGGCCGCGTGAGGACCGCGAAGTGGACAGCGCGTCGCGCCGAAGCGTGATGCGCCAGGGCCGGCGGAGCGACACGCTGTCCAAAAGTTCCCGACCGTACGAGTTGGCGCCCTCCTACGGCCTCCCCCTTCGCCGCGAGGAGCTGCCCGTGGACCGCGTCCTGCGCGCGGCGGAGCTCGTCGAGCACGGCGTCCATCTCGGCCAGCAGGCCCCTCCTGCTCTCGGGCGCGGCCATCGCCGACAGCTCCAGCAGCTCCCGCTGGTTCTGCGCCAGGATGCCCCGCAACCTCAGCTGCCCCGATACGCAACACACACAACAGGTGGCGTATTGATACGGAGCTCAACACGTGGACTGAAAACGCAGGTCCCACGCGATACGTTCGCCAAAGCGTGGGCCAATACGTGGAGCCAACACGCAACGTCTTGGCACGGACGTCTGGAACCCGGGGCGTGCTCTGCGTTCCAAAACGGGCGCACCGAGGCAGCTAGGCCCGCGGCCGCTCGCCGTCCCCCCCGATGGACGCGGCCACCTGCCGCGCCACCGCCTGGGCCTCGCGGCCGCAGCCGCTCGCCAGCCGGCGCAGCGTGCCGCGGTCCTCCCCGCCGAGCACCCCGTCGAGGATCTCCTGCACCAGGCGGCCCTCCCGCCGCAGCGCCGGCTGCAGCGCCTCGGCGCGGGAGCGCAGGGAGCCCCAGCGCTCCAGCGCCGCGCCCACGGCGCCGGCCTGCGGAGGCGGCAGCCCGCAGGCCAGCGGGAACTCCGCCGCCAGGGGGGCCGCCCTGTCCTGCGCCACAAAGCTGTACAGAGATATATATATATATATATACACACACAAACTCCTGCCGACGAGTGATCCTTGAGCCCTCAAGGGAAGGTGGCGGTGTACAACATCGTTGGCTCGTAGTGCTGACTTACACACTGCCGCCCTCCCCATTCGGCCCAGGAGCAGTCACTGGAAGCTGTGTGTGTCTCGATCTCTTGTGCATGTAGATGTATGTATAAACATAAATGCATGCATGCATACGTACGTACGTACATACATATGTACGAGCGTACAGACATACAGACATACATACATACAAACATTCAGTCATATGTGCATGCCTACATACATACATACGTACATACGTTCATACATACATAGTTGATGGACACATAATTGTACTACACATATATATGCATACGTACATAATGCACGCATGCAGAAATACATACACACACATATGCACACGCATACATACATCCATACATACACGCATGCATGCATACAGACAGGCATACGTACATGCAGGCATACATGCATGCATGTATGCATAAAGTCATGCATGCATGCATACATACAAACATAGATATACCTACCTACATACATACATGCATGCATGTAACCATGCATGCATTCATACGTTAATTGCTGCATACACATATGCATACATGCGTACATGTATACCTACAGACGTACGTGCGTGCGAACGTACGCACGTAAAAGCATACATACATACATGCAGACATACATACGTGTACACACATCTACACACATTACATACATACATACATACATACATACATACATACATACATACATACATACATACATACGTACGTACGTACGTACGTACATACATACATACCATGCCTGCATGCATGCATGCATGCATGCATGCAGACAGACAGGCAGACAGACAGACAGACAGACAGACAGACAGACAGACAGACAGACAGACAGGCACACAGACAGGCAGACAGACAGACAGACAGACAGACACACATACCTACATACATTCACACACATGCATACATACATACATACATACATACAAACATATATATATATAACCACATGCGTGTGTGTATACATACGCACATGCATACACACATACAGACATGCATGCATGCATACCTGCAAGTCTGCTTGTCTACACATGCCCATACATACGTACAAGCAACTTACAGAGATACATTGAAGCACGCATAACCACCCACATACATGCATGCAGACATAAGTACGTCTGTACAGACGTGCATACATACACACGTACATACATATCTGCATGCATAAGTACGTGCATACATACGTGCATACATACATACGTACGCACATACCTGCATACGTGCACACAAACGTACATACATGCATACATACTTGTATACCCGACATGCATGCCCTACCTGCATACCCGTCTACCTACCTGCATACCTACATGCATGCAGACGTGCGTACATACATACACGCATGCATACATACATACGTATCTACAGGCAGACCGACAGACAGACAGACAGACAGACAGACTGACTGACTGACAGATGTCTATATATGTATATAAATAACACTTTTTCCATAGAGTTCCCAACCATGCTGTGGTGATTGGTCCGCGCTTTGAATAAAAAATGCCCCGCGTTCCTCCTCTCCCCCCCATCCCCCTCTTCCCTCATCCCATCCCTGCTTCTGCCCCCATCCTGGCACGTCCCTCACACAATTCGTGGTCCCATATGGGAGGTCCACCGAAGGCCCCAGAGGCAGGGTTCTCATGGCGGCGCAACTCCATGTTGGCACACCACTCACACGTTTCGTGGCCCCCACAGGAAGCCCCACCGAAAGCCCCAGTGGCAGGGCTCGCATGGCGGCGCCGCCCCATTTTGGCACACCACTCACACGCTTCGTGGCCCCATAGGGAGCTCCACCGAAAGCCCCGCAGGGTTTGCATGGCGGCGCCGCTTCATGTTGGCACGCCCCTCACGTGGTTCGTGGCCCCATATTGGAGCTCCACCGAAGGCCCCAATGGCAGGGCTCGCATGGCGTCGACGCCCCATTTTGACACACCCAACACGTCTCGTGGCCCCACAGGGAGTACTTCATTGTTGGTATGGCCGTCCTCATCAACAATACACTAAAGTTAGGCATCGCGCTTGTAGTAAGTTTTGAATCAAAAGGGCTCGGGGAGATGCAGCTCTCAGGTCTAAACAGCTCCAGATATGCATTCAAGGAGTGCTAGTTGTTATCTCTTTACGCTCCTCCGAGGAAACCACCAGGATGGAATATGGCGAAAACGACCAAGACGACGAGTACGCCGACGACGCGACGACGACGACGACGACGACGACGACGACGACGACGACGACGACGACGAGTGCGGCGACAACGACTACGACCACGACGTCCTCTTCCTAGTCCTCCCCTTCATCCACCTCCTCCTTCTCCTCCTCCTCCTCGCCCTCCTCCCCTCGTCCTCTTCCTCCTCCTCGTCCTCCCCCTCCCCCTCCATTCCTCCACTCGTCCCTTCTGTTCCCTCCAGCGGGGACAGTTCGAGGGGTCAGGGCCCTTAGAACACACTTCGAAATCTAAGGTCCTTTTGAGGGGTCTAGACCCCTCAAGCGGACCCCTGGATGAGGTCACTTCAATGGGTCTAGACGCCCCATAACAAACCCGACTCGAAAAAACAATTCGAGGTGTTTAGACGCCCGAAGCCTACTTCCCTCGCCCCCCTACACCGGATCCCCATAACTAACCCTGAAGCACGGGCTCCCCATGTTTACGGCTCCCCATAACTAACCGAATCCATGTTACGGACCTGCAGCCGTTATATATACACAAGTACCATCCACCATGCCGCTGGGCACGGAGTGGGCGTGTCCCCAGGTCCTTTGCCCAATCCTCTGAGCCGCAATCCTCACTCCTGAAGAATCGTCAGGGGGCCCAGAGCCCAAATTGCCAGATCTCCTGGGGCTTGGCGCGTCTTGTTGTTTCACGCGTGACCTCTTCGGGGCCAAGCGGGCCCCAAGATGGGCCAGGAGGGCCCCAAGAGGCCCCCAAAACGGCCCAAGAGGGCCCCTGGTCGCGGAACGATCGCCCCAAGACGCTCAAGATGGCCCCCAGACGGCCCAAGACGGCCTCCAAGACGCCGCAAGAGGCTTCCCAGAGGCCTCCCAAGAGGGCCCCAAGAGGCCAAAATCATTGTTTGTCCTTCGGTTTGGGATGGCTTTTGGCGTTCTCGCCTTTTCGGCTTCCCGTCGCTCCCAGACAGCCCCAGAAGGCCCCCAAAATCGCCCCAAGACGGTCCAAAAGGCCTCCGAGAGGGCCCCAAAACAGCCCCAAAGGGCCCCGAGACGACCCAAGAGGCGCCCAAGACGGCCCCAGAGGGCCAAATGCCGGCCGGCCCCAAGAGGGGGCCCAGATCGGCGACCCGAACAGACAGTTCGCGCCCTCGGTCCCGAGGGGCCCCCCGGAGGCCTCAAGAGGCCCCCAAGAGGCCCCCAAGAGGCCCCCAAGAGGCCCCAAGAGGACCCCAAGAGGCCCCCAAGAGGTCCCCAAGAGATCACCAAGAGGCCCCAAAACTGCCCCTAGGAGGGCCCCGAGAGCGTTCCAAAGGGACCCCGAGAAGCATCCCTGAGAACTCTGACCCACAATCCAGGCACGGTGGCGGGATAAACCGAAGGCCACTAGATGTCTGCCGCCCTCTGTTGATTTATCACAGGGGTGCTGGGCGTGCTAGATCCTGGACGGTTTGGTTTTTTTTTGAAAACTCACTGGGACTTCGGCCCGTCCCGCCGGCCGCCCGAAGAGACCCTAAACTGCACATGTCAATGCCTTTCACGCCCAAGATGGCCCCAAATGGACTCCAAGATGCCTCCAGGACGGGCAAGATGGCCCAAAATGGCCACCAAGATCGCTCCAAGATCACCCACGAGGCCTCCAAGATGGCCCCATGACGGCCCAAGAGGCTCCCAAGACGGCCCCAAGAGGGCCACAAGAGGACTCCAAGACGGCCAAGATGGCCACCAAGACGGCTCAGATGGCCCCAAGATGGTCTCCAAGACGGCCCAAGATGCACCCAAAACGGCCTTAGATGGCCCAAGACGACCCAAGAGGCCCCCAAGAGGCATCCAAGACGGCCCAAGAGGTCTCCAAGAGGTCCTCCAGGTGGACCCGAAGAGACCAAAATCATTGATTCCTAAGGTTGTTGAAGGATTTTGGTATTTGCTCTTGTTCGGCATTCCGACGGCTCAAGACGGCCCAAGAGGCCCCAAAAATCGCCCCAAGATCGCCCACGAGGCCTCCAAGATGGCCCCAAGAGACCTTCGAGACGGCCAAGATGGCCTCCAATACGGCTGAGATGGCCCCAAGATGCCTCCAAGATGGGCCAAGATGCACTCAGGACGGCCTAAGATGACCTCAAGATAACCCAAGACGGCCCAAGAGGCCCCCAAGAGGCCTCCAAGACGGCCCAAGAGGCCTCCAAGAGGTCCTCCAGGACCCGAAGAGACCAAAATCATTGATGATCCTTAGGTTTTTTTTATGGATTTGGGCATTTGCTCTTTTTCTGCATTCCGACGGCTCAAGACAGCCCAAGAGGCCCCCGAGATCGCCCCAAGATCGCCCAAGAGGCTTCCAAGATGGCCGCATGACGGCCCAAGAGGCCCCCAAGACGGTGACCTCCAAGATGGCCCTGGCCCCAAGAGAGCCCCAAGTAGGTTCAGAGAGGCCCCAAAGACGGCGTCCGACGGTGTCAGACGGGTCGGGAACGCCCTAAGACAGCCAAAGAGGCCCCCAAGAAGCCCCCAAAGGCCCCCAAAAAGCCCCCAAGAGGCCCAGGGAGGCCCCCAAGAGGCCTCCAAAAGGCTCCCAGGAAGCTCCGCAGAGGCCTCCCAAGAGGCCTCGCAAGACGGTTCCCAAGAAGTCTCCTCCTCCTCCTACTCCTCCTCCTTTCCAATCATCCTCATCCTCATCCTCATCCTCATCCTCATCCTCATCCTCATCCTCCTCGTGATCATCGTCCTCCTCCCTCTCCTGATCCTCCTGCTATTGCTCCTCCACGCGTTCTCCGAATGCATTCCAAACCGACTCGGGGATCAACTGGCCCGATAGCTTAGCCAAGCTCTACCCCAGCTGTCGGCCACGTAGGCGCTTCCAAAGGGGCAGGTGGCGGTGGTGATTCGCCGTGGGCGTCTTCGATAGATCTCCGTATACATGTGTACAAAGTTGTATATATGTATATATGTATACAAAGATGTATATAGATAGGTGACTATAGATATAGTTATGTGTATGCATATTTTTGTGTGTACATACATCGGTATACACACATATTCCAATTCACATGTTTTCATTACCCGGGACCTCCCCCCCCCCGGAAATCGGACCCCCGCATCCTGGATCCCCAAGACCCTCTGGACCCCCCAGACCCGTGGCCCCGGGGACCCCCTGGAAGCCCCTGCAGTGCAGGAGGCCCCCCAGGCGTTTCAGAACGCCTGGAAGCCCTTGCTGGGCCCAGGCAGCGGGCCCAAGTCGGTCAGGAGGGCGGCCGAACGCCCCCCGAGGGCCCCAAGAGGCCCCAGACAACCACCAGACACCCGAAGATGACCCAAAGAAGACCCCCAAGAGGATTCCAACACGAAGAAAAACAGTGGTGTTCCATGTTGTTGCATGATTTGGTGAATGCCCTGTTCTTCGGTCTTCTGGGCGTCCGAGACTGCCTGGGAGGCTCGAAATCGCCCCAAAACCATCCGAAAGGGCTTCCAGGCAGTCCAAGCGAGCCCCAAGACGGCACAACGGAGCAAGAGAGCCCCATGAGAGCAGTCCAAGAGAGCCCACGAGAGCCCCAACAGAGGTCCAAGATGGCCTAAGAGAGCCACATGACGGCCCAAGATGGCCCCACGACACCCTCCGAAGCATTCCAAATCCTGACCCGGTCGTTCAAGGAGACCGCGGTTGGAGGCAGGGTGGCCCGAAGAAGCCCCCAGAGGCTTCCCGAAAACGCCCAGGAGGTCTCCAAAAGGCCTTAAGAAAGCCTGAAAAACGTCCGAGAGGCCCCAGAGGCTCTCCAAGGAGGAAGGAGCCTCCGCTAACAGAGCTGAGGAGGATGCGGAAGAATTCGCCGGGTAAGGCGAGAATGAGGAACAAGAAACATGATGAAGGAGAACGAGTAACATAAGTATAACGGCGATGCCGGAAAAGGCAACAAGGAGTTATCGCTGAATTGTCTGTTTGACCTTCCTGCCATTCCGACTGCATGCCAAAATTCCAGGACCAAGGTGCCTGGTCGAAGCGCCAATGTAGTCGTGTATATTTATGCTTGTGTTTGACGTACACACACATACATATATATATACATATATGTGTATGCCAATGTGTATGTCTGCATGCATGTATGTATCTATGTGTGGGTGCAAGTATGTATGTATGCATGTTTGTATATATATATGTATGCATGCATGCATGCATGTATGTATGTATGCATGTATGTATGTATGTATGTATGTATGTATGTATGTGTGTGGTTGTGTGTATGTATGTATGCGTGTATGTATGTGTGTATCTATGTATGTGTGTATGTATGTATGTATGTACGTGCGTATGTGCGTACGCATGTTTGCTTGTATGTTTGCTTGCATGTATGTATGTAAATGTATGCCTATATGTATGTATATATGTATGTATGTATGTATGGAAGTATGGAAGTATGTATGTATGTATGTATGTATGTATGGAAGTATGGAAGTATGTATGGATGCATGCATGCATGTATGCACGTATGCATGTATTTATGCGCGTATGACTGTATGTGTGTGTGCATGTATGTCTATACATGTGTATATGCGTATGACTGTGTGTCTCGATGTGTGTGTGTGAGAGTATGCGCGCACGTATGTTTGTACGTATGCATGTAGGTATGTAGGTTTGCATGTATGAATGTGTGTACATATGCATGTATGTATGTGTGAATGGATGCATATATGTATGTATGTGTGCATGTATGTATGTGTGTGTTGATGTACGTTTGTATGTATGCATGCATGTATGCACGGTATGTCTGAGTGTGTGTACAGACGCATGTATGCATGACTGTATGCATGTGTATGTATGAAGGTATGTGTGCATGTGCATGGATGTATCTACGTATGCATGTATGTGTGGATTTGGATTTTTACATGCATGTATGTATATGTATGTATGCATGCATGCACGCATGCAGTTTGGTACGTACGTTTGTACGTATGTGTGTGTATGCATGCATGCATGCATAAATATATGTACGTCTGTATGCGTATGTATGTATGTATGTATGCATGCATGCATGCATGCATGCATGTATGTGTATGTAAATGTGTATGTATGCATGCATGCACGCACGCACGCATGCATGCATGCATGTATGGATGTGCGTGTGTATGTGTCTGTCTGTCTGTCTGTCTGTCTGTCTGTCTGTCTGTCTGTCTGTCTGTCTGTATGTATGTATGTATGTATGTATGTGTGTATGTATGTATGCGGCGGATGTCCTCGCCGCGGGGGCGCTTCTGGCCCCGCCGGGTGCTCATCCCCGGCAGCGCCAGCGCGGCTGGGCACGGGGGCCTGCGGCCAGGCCTCCGCCAGGCATCGGCCCGGGGGGCCCCTGCGAGGCAGGGGGGGGTGCCGTACCGCAGCGAGGCCACGGGATCGGAGTCGAGACGGGGCGGAGCGGGCGAGGGGGACTCGGCCAGGAGCCTGTGCCCAGCGTGTCGCGATGGCTGCCCCTGCGGCACGCTGTGCCCTGGAAGCTGGTATGGCGTGACGCCTGCGGGGCGGGAGGCCAGGGAGAGCTCGGCAGTCTGATGCTTGGGAACCTGGACGTGCTCAGCGTGTCGCGCCGCAGCGAAGTGGGTCAGAACCCGCGGTGCGACACGCTAAACAAGCCTTCCTGGCCGCATGGGCGGGCGGGCGGGGAGAAAGGGGCGACATGGTGGGCAGAGGGGAGATGAGGGGAGAAGGAGGAGGAGGAGGAGGGCAGGAGGAGGAGGAGGAGGAGGAGGAGGAGGAGGAGGAGGAGGAGGGAGGCGGGAGGGAGACGGGAGGGGGCGAGGGGGGGATCGAGGGAGGTGCTCAGAACAGGGGGGAGGCGGGCACTCGCGGCAGGTGGGGCCCTAAGCCAAAACGGCTGCGGCCAGAGGAGGCGATGGCGCGAGGGGGCAGCGGGCACGCCCGGCCGGTGCCGGCGTTCCGCTCCAGAAGCATGGGAGCGTGGTTCGAACAGTGCGGCTGGCCCCAAAACAACCACACGCCTCAGAGCTGTCAGCGTTGCTTGTAGATGTGCATGGCTTGGCCCTCCCCGAGAAGAAATGGCACTGTAAAATACAGGGGCAACTGCTACGATGTCCTACAAAACTTCGACCGCAGAAGCTCGTCCCTCCAAAATGCTAGCTCTCTCTCTCTCTCTGTTTCTCTGTGTCTCTCTCTCTCTCTCTCTCTCTCCCTCTCTCCCTCCCCCACTATTAACTCCTCATAATCCTCATGTTTTCCATCTCATTGCACCTATACCGCTACTATGCACATCACTATCACCATCGTTGTCATCATCAGCATCATCATCATCAGCATCATCATTGTCATCATCAGCATCATCAGCAGCATCATCAGCATCAGCATCATCATCATCAGCATCATCATCAGCCGCAGCAGCATCATCAGCAGCAGAAGCATGACCATCATCAGATCATCACCATCATCATCATCATTATCATCATCATCATCATCATCATCATCAGCATCATCATCATCATCATCACCATCACCATGATCATCACCATCATCATCGCTATCGTCATCATCATGGCCATCGTCACTATCGTCACCTGCATCATCACCTGCATCCCAATCATAAGCATCCGTATCAGCATCAGCATCATCATCAGCATGGACATCATCTCCATCAACCTCATCATCAACCTCATCATCATCAGCATCATCATCATTAGCAGCGGTATCAGCGTCATCAGCGTCATCATCATCATCAGCATTATCATCGTCGTCACTATAGTCATCACAATCAGCATCACCACTATCGTCGTCACTATAGTTATCATAATCATCATCACCATAATCAGCAGCAGCAGCATGATCGTCACCATTGTAATCCCCATCCTCAGGCTACGATCCATCATCATCAGCATCATCATCACCGCCATCGCCATCACCAGCATTGCAATTGCAATCCTTATCCTCATCCTCATCATCGTCATCACCAGCATCACCAGCATGATCAGCACCATCATCATTAGTATCATCATCATACTCGTTGTCCTCCTCGTGCTCGTCCTCGTCCTCCTCCTCCTCCTCCTGCTCCTCCTCCTCCTCCTCTTCCTCCTCCCATCCTTCCGCCTCTCCTTCCTCCTCCTCCTCCTCCTCCTCCTCGTCCTCATCCTCCTCCTCCTGCTCCTCCTCCTCCTCTTCGTCCTCCCATCCTTCCGCCTCCCTCTCCTCCTTATCACCATCATCAGCAGCACCCTCTTCCTCCTCTTCCTGCCAAGCCATTCCTCTCGTAGGCAGGCTACCCGCATCGGCCCCCCTGCGAGCTTCTTCCACCAAACTTGGAAGTGGCACTGATGGAAGGGGCCTGTCAATGGGTTGGGGCGACCGCGTGACCAGTGGGGCCACAGGGGACTGGTGTTCGGCTCCGGCGCCCGGGGGTGCGAGGCTGCAGACTGTCGATGTACGCCGCGCCTGCTGGTGGCCAGTCGGCGACAACGCTGCAGCAGCACATGACGGACCAGTCCGCGGAGGATGCCAGTGGGCATTATGGGGAGAAGGCGGTAAGGAAGGTCGGGTCGGGGGTTCGTTCTGCCTTTTCCCCCCTCCTCCTCCTCCCCCTGGTCCTCCTTCTCCTCCTCCCTCTCCTCCTCCTGCACCTGCTCCTCCTCCTGCTCCTCATCGTCAGCCCCCGCCTCCTACTCGGACTCCTGGCCTTCGAAGCGGTGAAAAGCAGGCCATCCGAAGCTACGAGCCTCAAGAACTCGAAAGACAGTAAAAAATAATGTGGCGCAGGGACATGCCATCAGAAGCAACAGAACCTCAGGGACCGAAGAAAACGAAGAAGAGCACGCCATCAGAAGCTGCCTCAGGATCCGACTAGAAATAGGTGACGTCGTGCGCTGCCATCAGGTGCATCTTCAGGCGCCGACGATCGCGAGCGTGCTGGCCATCATGCTACCTCACGCTTCAGATAACTCTCTCATGTGAGCTCGAGCTTCCAGCGGGCAGGCCAGTCTGCGCTGCGCTCGCCCGCGGCGCAGTCACTTGCCAGCACAATCCCAGAATAATCCTCCTCCTCCTCCCTTTACTCCTCCTCCTCCCGTTCCTCCTCCTGCTCCTGCTCCTGCTCCTGCTCCTGCTCCTGCTCCTGCTCCTGCTCCTCCGCCTCCCCCTCCTCCCTCCTCCTCCTCCTCCTCCTCCTCCTCCTCCTCCTCCTCTCCTCCTCCTCATCATCTTCCTCATCCTCCGTCTCCCCCTCCCCCTCCTCCTCCTCCTCCTCCTCCTCCTCCTCCTCCTCCTCCTCCTCCTCTTCATCCTCCTCCTCCTTCTCCTCCTCCTCCTTCTCCTCCTCCTCCACATCCTCTTCGTCTCGTCTAGCTCCTCGTGCTCATTCTCCTCCTCCTCCCTCCTCCTCCTCCTCTCCTCCACCTCCACCTCCTCTGAATCCTCCTGCTCATGTATCGTCCCCCTTCTCGTCCGCTTCACCCTCTTCATCTCCATGAGTATAATCAACATGTTCATCATCATCGTCAGCAGCAGCATCATCATCATCAGCATCATCATCATCATCATCACCATCATCATCATCATCATCATCACCACCACCACCACCATCATCATCATCATCATCATCATCATCATCATCGTCATCAGCATCATCATTATCATTATCATCATCATCATCATCATCATCATCATCATCATCATCATCATAATCATCAACAGCATCATCGTCATCATCATCAGCATCACCATCGCCATCACCAGCAGCATCATCGTCATCATCAGCAGCATCAACAGCATCATCATCATCAGCATCACCACCACCATGATCATCGTCAGCAGCAGCAGCATCATCCTCATCAGCAGCATCAACGGCACCATCAGCAGAATCATCAGCATCAGCAGCATAATCATCATCAGCATCATCATCAGCATCATCATCATCATCAGCATCATCATCAGCATCATCACGATCATCAGCATGTTCATCAGCATCATCATCAGCATAATCATCGTCGTCATCAACGTCATCATCAGCATCACAATCATCAGCAGCAGCAAATCATAATCATCACCATCATCATAAACAGCAGCATCATCAGTATGGTCATCATCATCATACTCATCATCAGCAGCATCACCATCAAACTTTCGATCAACGGCAGCATCATCGCCACCATCATCATCAACATCATCATCAGTATCACCTTTTTCTCATCATCATCATAATCAGCATCATCAGAACCATCATCATCGCCGTCACCGCCCCATTATCAGCATCACCAGAATCATCACAACCATCAAAATTGTCATCATCGCCAACAGCATTACCATCATCATCATCATCATCATCATCATCATCATCATGACCTCGTCGTCATCGGACTCAACATCATCCTCCTCATCCTCATCATCATCACCACCATCACCACCATCGCAACCACCACCATCATCATCATAGTCGTCGTCATCATCATTATCATCATTATCATTATCAGCATCATCAACATCAACATCATAATCAACAACATCATCAACAACATCTTCGGCCTCATCCTCTTTCCGTACCCTGTTTCTCCTCCTCCTCCTCCACCTCCTCCTCCTTGTCCTCCTCCTCCTCCTTGTCCTCCTCCTCCTCCTCAGCCTCCTCCTCCCCCTCTCACTCCATCTCCCTTCTTCTCCTCCTCCTCCTCCTCCTCGTCCTCCTTCTCCTCATATCCTCCTCTTCCTTCTCTTAAAAAAAACTGCTCCCTGTCGCACCCCGAAACGCGTCGGTAGGGCGGACCGGGCGTTTCACCTAAGACTTCCTCACCACTTAGGACCGTGAAGCTTGAAACTTGCAAACTGTTCCCGGGATGCAGGGCAGGTATGTTCCAAATGCGCCGCGAACATTCGTCTTCAAAGTTTGCAGCAGCTTCATGGATGGGCGGCGGGTCTTTTTCAAAATGTGGCCCTCGCCTCGGCGCCGCGCATATTCGTCTTCAAAGTTCGCAACAGCTGTAAGGATGGAGAGCGGGTCGTTCTCTAAGTGTGGTTCTCGTCTTAGCGCCTCGCACACTCGTCTTTCTGTAAATGCCAGAAAAATCACAGATTGAGAGTGGGTGATGTTCAAAATGTGGCTCTCGCCGCAGCGCCGCGCACATTCGTCTTCAAAGTTCGCAACATGTTCAAGGATGGAGGGCAGATCGTTTTCCAAATGTACCTCTCGCCGTAGTGCCGCGCACATTCATCTTAAAAGTCTGCTACAGCTTCAAGGAAGGAGGGCGGGCCGTTGTCCAAATGCGGTTCTAGCCGTAGAGCAGCGCGCATGTGTCTTAAAAATGCACAGCCGTCTCAGAGATCCGTAGGGTTGACGTCACAGGACACACAGTCACGTTGACTCGCGGTGTTGTCCCGAGAATGGTTTTCTGGCGCGGTTTAGGACTGTCTGGACGCAACAATCACGTCGCTTCACGGCGTTGAAGTCCCAGGAAAAGTGTTCTGGCACGATGGAGGATTCTCGGACGGTTGTCTTGAAAAATGGAGCATGTCTCGCACACGGAATTCTTGTAGGGACCTATTTGGAGGAAGGGTTGATTGCAACATCGTTGGGTTTACACTGGTCCGCCTCCCCCTCTTCCTCCTCCTCCCAATCCTCCTCCTCCTCTTCCTCCTCCTCCTCCTCCTCCTCCTCCTCCTCATCCTCATCCCCTGTTCTCCCCCGCTCCCTCATCGGCCCCTCTCCCCCTCAGCCCTCCGCGCACCTTCCCTGCCTCACTCCCCCCATCCATCCTTCCGCCCCTGGACCCCCCGCGCCTGCTGCCCGCAGGCGGAAACGCCACAGGCCGGCCAAACACACCAGGAACGGCAGGTGCTCATGGCCCCCGGGCGCGCGACGCCGCGGGCGGCTGGCTGGCCAGATGAGGCCAGGCAGGGAGGTGGAGGGAAGGAGAGAAGGAGGGAATGGGAGGAGGAGGAGGCGGAGGAGAAGGAAGGGGGAGGCTGAAGGATGAGGGATGGGGGGAAGGATGAAAGTAAGAGGGAAACGGATGGAGGGAGGAGAAGAAAGGACGAGGATTGGGGGGTGGAGGGAGGGAAAGATGTTTAGCAGCAGCAGCACCACCACCACCAGAAGGGGAACGGAGCAGACGGACGATGACATGACAAAGACGAGCAGGCGGAGGAGGGGCGTTTACTGACCCTCGGCAGCTCCTTGATCGTCTTGCATTCGACACACTAATACATGTCATGGCAATGGCGTGGGTTCAGTATACGTTTGGACAACCCTTTGCATCCATTATCCCTGGCCGTCGTCGCCCAGAGATGTGTGCCGACAAAGGTCGACAAGCAAATTAGCTGAGATTGGCACGTGCACGAACGTGCTGGATTGCGAATATGTTCCACGAAATGTAATGGCGTGCGCGTGCTGCAAGGGATCCTGGCGAGCACTATAGTGCAAGAAAGACCGCAGCAAATATTGACCCACTCCTCCCTCCTCCCTCCTCGTGTTCGTCCTCCCTCCCTCCTCCTGCCTCCTCCTCCTCCTCCTCCTCCTCCTCCTCCTCCTCCTCCTCCTCGCTCCTCCCTCCCTCGCTCCTCCCTCCCTCCCTCCCTCCCTCCCTCCCTCCCCTCCCCCCCCCCCCTCCCCTCCCTCCCTCCCTCCCTGCACTGGTGCCGAGCGGGCGCGCCGCACGGCCAGGGGGGGGGGGCGCCGAGGGTGGCCCCGTCGAAGCAGAGGGACAGGGCCAGGGCCGCCGCGGAGGAGAAGCACTCGGTCCGCGGCGCCAAGGGGGGGGGATTCCTCCTCGCCCCGCCTCGCTCC